GCTACTTCATCACTGTAATTTTGCTACTGTTATGAATCGGGCGACCCCTGTGAAAGGGTCGTTCGGCCCCCAGGTTGAGAACCGCTGCTCTAAGCCAGCCTCTCTTGCCTTGAAATTAACTGGTCCAGCAAACCTCTCAATGCCACTGTGTTGACATGACTTCTTATTTTGTTGTTGAAGGCACCCTAGCAGGCCTGATACAAGTGTGTTATTGACAGGATTTGTCTCAGTCATCCACTGATCACATAGACACGTTTAAACATGTTTTGTTTGGAATAAACCAGGTGCATTTATGAACTGAACCCCTAGTAATAATACTTTTTAACTAACTCACTAACTCTTATGTTATTTCTAAATGATATACAAATCAATGCTAAGATAGGCAAAACTGAAAATAATTATTCTGTTGGGCATTTAAAAATGAGCAAATTTTAATAAAATCATTTGAACGCTCAGATAACCACTAAATAATGCAAATGTCATATAACAGAAAATGCTAATCCTATTATATATTGCAATTCTAAAGCTATAATGCATATATACAAACTTGAAACAAAAAATGAAAACCGTTTTTGTTAATATGGCAAAATTGGAGTTGATTTCTAGTAACACTGTTAACTATTCAACAAATAAAAGAATAAGCCTATAAAATTACAGTGGCAGGGTTTAGGTTCAAGTCAATTACACCATCTAGGGACTATATTTACAATGTAAGGTCAATATTATACAGGAAGTAACCATAGACTTCCAAAGTAACCAAATTACATGTGATATTATTTTGCCAATTGGTTTAGTCAATTACAATCATCCTCATCTTGTCTCATCTCACCAATCTCACTAAGAATCTCTGTACTAATAAACCACAAACTACTTTTATGAATGCTTTCTATTTCTTGGGTATTTTGGCCAAAAACAATGGTACTATACTATTTTTATTAAGATACAGAATGTAGACATGAATAGGCAGTCCTACCCCCTCTCAAACTCTATTTATATCCTCTTTTGTTGCCCCCCTAAAAATGTTTAAAATTATTTTATTACAATTTTATTTTTCTACAATTGAAAAAATGCAGGAGGGAAAATTAAGCATGCTTAAAAGCAAAAATATTTTGGAGAAACAAAATTAAATAAAATGTTTTGTGAAGTTTTTCTCTAGATATAAATAGGTGGATACTATTTATCGATCTAATAATGATACTAATCATTAAAAATTCAATAAAGAGAATAGACAGCATTTTAGAAAAGTTATTAGCCGCAGAGAAAAGATACAAGATAAACGCAAAAGGAAGAAATAGATAAGCACCAAACAACTTACGTATATACTTGAGTATAAGCGGACCCAAATATCAGCTGAGACACCTAATCTTACCACAAAAACTGCATTAAAAATGTGCGGAAAAACTCGGCTTATACACGAGTATATACGATACTAACTATAACAATGGAAAGGCTTTTTAGGGTATGTTTTAATAACAGCATAACTCACACTAAATGCATTGATTTTAATAAGGATAACTAATTATTACAAACTCATTTTAAACAACAAACCAAACACATTGACACCCCCCCCACCCCACCCTGCGCGCGCACGCGGACACACACACTCACTCACTCACTCACTCCCCTGGGATGTGAGACTGTAACCGTAGAAAAAGCCCAGTCTTTTGCCAGAAGAGCTGCTGGTGGTTTCAAACTGCCGACCAAGCAACAGCAGCCCAATGCGTAACCACTACACTACCATGGTTCTTCATTTTAAAATAAGGGCAGTTTGAAGTAAGACTTCAACTACTTTATCTTCTGTAAGGCCCACTTCAATAAAAATACCCCCAAAAAGGTGCCAGTTCATAGACAGGTTTTATAGAAGAGTTAGTGACAAGATTAAGCAGAAATAGCATACATGGT